TCCATTTTCAGGTCCCCACATTGCGGGTGTTTTTTGAATTTTTGCCCATAGGGTGCGGGCGATTAGGGGCCTCCCATACTCGCCAGGCCCCAAAATTCTGCCAGGGGCCCCTAATCCCCGCCTCCTCATGCTTCTGCCAAGTCCAGAGTCTGTCATGGGTACCTGTATGGCCTCCACATTGCTGCTGTCTCCCATCGCCACACTCTGCCATGTGCCACATTCAGGTCTCCTCACACACTGCTGGTGTGTTGAATTTTTGACATAGGTGTCTGGCAGATTACGGGCCTCCTATAGTCTGCTGCCAGGCCCCTAATTCTGCCATAGGCCCCTATATACCGCCTCCTCATATGCTGCTGCCAGGTCCAGAGTCTCTCATGGGTCCACATGTACGGCCTCTTAATTGCTGCTGTCTCCATCGCCACACTCTGCCAATGTGCCACTTTCAGGTCTCTCTCACACTGCTGTGTGGGGTGTGTTGAATTTTTTGACATAGGGTGCTGGCAGATTACGGGCCCCTCCCATAGAGCTGCTGCCAGGCCCCTAATCTGCAATGGGCCCCTATATACCGCCTCCTCCTGCTGCTGCCAAGTCCAGAGTCTGTCATGGGTCCCTGTACGGCCTCCCATTGCTGCTGTCCTCCATCGCCACACCTCTGCCATGTGCCACATCATCAGTCTCTCCTCACACACTGCTGGTTGTGTTGAATTTTTTGACATAGGGTGCTGGCAGATTACGGGCCTCCCTTAGCTGCTGCCAGGCCCCTAATCTGCCATGGGCCCCTATTTACCGCCTCCTCATGCTGCTGCCGCAGGTCCACAGTCTCTCCATGCCATGTGCCACTTTCAGGTCTCCTCACAGTGCTGGTGTGTGTTGAATTTTTTGACATAGGGTGCTGGCAGATTACGGGCCCTCCCATAGCTGCTGCCAGGCCCCTAATTCTGCCATGGGACCCTATATTACCGCCTCCTCATGCTGCTGCCAAGTCCAGAGTCTGTCATGGTTCCCTGTACGGCCTCCCATTGCCTGCTGTCTCCATCGCCACACTCTGAGCCATTGTCCACATTCAGGCTCCTCCTCACACACTGCTGGTGTGTTGAATTTTTTGACATAGGGTGCTGGGGCAGATTACGGTCCCTCCTATAGCTGCTGCCAGTGCCCCTAATCTGCCATAGGCCCCTAGATATACCGCCTCCCTCATGCTGCGCCAGGTCCTAGAGTCTCTCATGGGTCCCTGTACGGCCTCTTATTGCTGCTGTCTCCATCGCCACAAACTCTGCCATGTGCCACTTTCAGTCCTCCTCACACTGCTGGTGTGTTGAATTTTTTGACATATAGGGTGCTGGCAGATTACGGGCCTCCCATAGCTGCTGCCAAGGCCCTAATCTGCAATGGGCCCCTATATAAACGCCCTCCTCCTGCTGCTGCCAAGTCCAGAGTCTGTCATGGGTCCCTGTACGGGCCTCCCATTGCTGCTGTCTCCATCGCCAACAAACTCTGCCATGTGCCACATTCATGGATCTCCTCACACACTGCTGATGTGTTGAATTTTTTGACATAGGGTCTGGCAGATTACGGGCCTCCTAATAGCTGCTGCCAGGCCCCTAATCTGCCATGGGCCCCCTATACCGCCTCCTCATGCTGCTGCCAGGTCCCACAGTCTCTCATGCCATGTGGCCACTTTTCAGGTCTCCTCACACTGCATGGTGTGTTCAATTTTTTGACATAGGGTGCTGGCAGTTTACGGGCCTCCCATAGCTGCTGCCAGGCCCCTAATCTGCCATGGGCCCCTTATAATACCGCCTCCTCATTGCTGCTGACAAATCCAGAGTTCTGTCATGGGTCCCTGTACGGACCTCCCATTTGCTGCTGTTTCGGGCCTCCATCGCCACACACTCTGCCATGTGCCACATTCAGGTCTCCTCACACACTGCTGGTGTGTTGAATTTTTTTTGACATAGGGTGCTGGCAGATTACGGGCCTCCTATAGCTGCTGCCAAGGCCCCTAATCTGCCATAGGCCCCTATAAATATACCGCCTCCTCATGCTGCTGCCAGGTCCAGAGTCTCTCATGGGTCCCTGTACGGCCTCCCATTTTTGCTGCTGTCTCCATCGCCACACTCATGCCTTGTGCCACATTCAGGTCTCCTCACACACTGCTGGTGTTTTTGAATTTTTTGACATAGGGTGCTGGCAGATTACGGGCCTCCCATAGCTGCTGCCAGGCCCCTAATGTGCCATAGGCCCCTATATACCGCCTCCTCATGCTGCTGCCAGGTCCAGAGTCTCTCATGGGTCCCTGTACGGCCCCCCATTGCTGCTGGTCTCCATCGCCACACTCATGCCATGTGCCACATTTCAGGTCTCTCTCACACACTGCTGGTGTGTTGAAATTTTTTGACATAGGGTGCTGGCAATTACGGGCCTCCTATAGCTGCTGCCAGGCCCCTAATCTGCCATAGGCCCCTATATACCGCCCTCCTCATGCTGCTGCCAGGTCCAGAGTCTCTCATGGGTCCCTGTACGGCCTCCCATTGCTGCTGTCTCCATCGCCACACCTCTGCCATTGTGCCACATTCAGGTCTCCTCACACACTGCTGGTGTGTTGAATTTTTTTGACATAGGGTGCTGGCAGATTACGGGCCTCCTATAGCTGCTGCCAGGCCCCTAATCTGCCATGGGCCCCTATACCGCCTCCTCATGCTTGCTGCCAGGTCCACAGTCTCTCATGCCATGTGCCACTTTCAGGTCTCCTCACACTGCTGGTGTGTTCAATTTTTTGACATAGGGTGCTGGCAGATTACGGGCCTCCCATAGCTGCTGCCAGGCCCCTAATCTGCCATGGGCCCTTATATACCGCCTCCTCATGCTGCTGACAAATCCAGGAGTCTGTCATGGGTCCCTGTATGGGCCTCCCATTGCTGCTGTCTCCATCGCCACACTCTGCCATGTGCCACATTCAGGTCTCCCACACACTGCTGGTGTGTTGAATTTTTTGACATAGGGTGCTGGCAGATTACGGGCCCCTCTCCTATAGCTGCTGCCAGGCCCCTAATCTGCCATAGGCCCCTATATACCGCCTCCTCATGCTGCTGCCCAGGTCCAGAGTCTCTCTCATGGGTCCCTGTACGGCCTCCCATTGCTGCTGTCTCCATCGCCACACTCTGCCTTGTGCCACATTCAGGTCTCCTCACACTGCTGCTGGTGTGTTGAATTTTTTGACATAGGGTGCTGGCAGATTACGGGCCTCCTATAGCTGCTGACAGGCCCCTAATCTGCCATGGGGCCCCTATAAACAAAACCCCGAACCATACCGCCTCCCATCATATAATACCCTCCTCATGCTGCTGCCAGGTCCACAGTCTCTCATGCCACATGCCAATGTGCCACTTTCAGGTCTCCTCACAGTGCTGGTGTTTTGAATTTTTTGACATAGGGTGCTGGCAGATTACGGGCCTCCCATAGCTGCTGCCAGGCCCCTAATCTGCCATGGGCCCCTATATACCGCCTCCTCATGCTGCTGCCAAGTCCAGAGTCTGTCCATGGGTCCCTGTACGGCCTCCCATTGCTGCTGTCTCCATCGCCACACTCTGCTGCCATGTGCCACATTCAGGTCTCCTCACACACTGCTGGTGTGTTGAATTTTTTGACATAGGGTGCTGGCAGATTACGGGCCTCCTATAGCTGCTGCCAGGCCCCTAATCTGCCATAGGCCCCTATATACCGCCTCCTCATGCTGCTGCCAGGTCCAGAGTCTCTCATGGGTCCCTGTACGGCCTCCCATTGCTGCTGTCTCCATCGCCACACTCTGCCTTGCGGCATTGTGCCACATTCAGGTCTCCTCACACACTGCTGGTGTGTGTTGAATTTTTTGACATAGGGTGCTGGCAGATTACGGGCCTCCTATAGCTGCTGACAGGCCCCTAATCTGCCATGGGCCCCTATACTGCCTCCTCATGCTGCTGCCAGGTCCACAGTCTCTCATGCCATGTGCCACTTTCAGGTCTCCTCACAGTGCTGGTGTTTTGAATTTTTTGACATAGGGTGCTGGCAGATTACGGGCCTCCCATAGCTGCTGCCAGGCCCCTAATCTGCCATGGACCCCTATATACCGCCTCCTCATGCTGCTGCCAAGTCCAGAGTCTGTCATGGGTCCCTGTACGGCCTCCCATTGCTGCTGTCTCCATCGCCACACTCTGCCATGTGCCACTTTCAGGTCTCTTCACACTGCTGGTGTGTTGAATTTTTTGACATAGGGTGCTGGCAGATTACGGGCCTCCCATTGCTGCTGCCAGGCCCCTAATCTGCCATGGGCCCCTATATACCGCCTCCTCATGCTGCTGCCAGGTCCAGAGTCTCTCATGGGTCCCTGTACGGCCTCCCATTGCTGCTGTCTCCATCGCCACACTCTGCCATGTGCCACATTCAGGTCTCCTCACACACTGCTGGTGTGTTGAATTTTTTGACATAGGGTGCTGGCAGATTACGGGCCTCCCATTGCTGCTGCCAGGCCCGTAATCTGCCATGGGCCCCCGTACTGACTCCTCATGCTGTGACGTTGCAACAAGGTGGAATTCAACCCTACATATGTTAGACCGCCTTTATGAACAGCAAAAGGCCATCACAGATTTCCTGATGTTAAAAGCGGATAAAGGTACTCCCTGTGTAACTTAGATGTCAGCCATTGGCAGCTCATGCGTGACACCTGCGCTTGCTCAGGCCCTTTGAGGAGGCCACGCTTTTCGTGTGAGTCGGCAGGACTATGGGATGAACGACGTCATTCCTCTGTTGCACGTCCTGGAACAAATGCTGTTAATAATGGCTGGTCAGGGGTGCGGTAGACGTGGTGCACAGATCTCATCACCACATGACCCCTGTGGGGGCAGGACAGGAAGAAGAGGAGGAGGTAGAGGAGGACATTGGTGCTCATTGAATTATTGAGTGAAATGGGTGGTTTTTCCACTCAGCGGACAGGAGTGGAGGAGCAGGAGCATCTGGTAGAGGAGGAGGAGGAGGAGACAGAGGACCCAGACGCACCGTGGCAGTATGCTGTGGAGATGGAGGCAGGGAGTCCCTCGCATTCCTTGGCACAAATGGCCCATAGCATGCTCGCTTGCTTGCGTACCGACAGCCGAATAATAACCATAAGACAGAGGGATGACTTTTGGCTGTCCACCTTGTTGGACCCTCGCTACCGTTCCAAAATGGTGGCCTTTTTCACACCTGCTGAGAGGGAGGCCAAAATAACGTACTATAAAAACCAACCTATGTAGTCAGCTGGTCTCTGCCTGTCTGCGCCAACGTCCATCCTCAGACACTGTGGGCCCTGTGCGCTCGCGTTACGCTGCCATGGCAGCAGGGGAGGGTGGGGTGGTAGGAGCAGTGGCAGCTCCACCAGCAGCGGCTGCCTCAGTCTGCAGTCGATGATGAGTAGCTTTCTTCACCAGCGCAGTGAGGAAACTAATAACCAGCCGCAGCAGCAGCAAGCAGCAGCATCAGGTGGACCTGGAGCAGGACCTCAAACAACAGGCTTAGGCCTACTTGGACAGCACCCTGCCAACCGAGGTAGACAATCCCCTTGACTACTGGGCAACGAAACTTGACCTTTGGCCCCAACTAGCTGATTTTGCCACTTGAAAGGCTGTCATGCCCGGCCAGTAGCGTGGCATCGGAGCGCGTGTGTTTAGTGCGGCAGAAGGGATTGCAACTCCGCGGAGGACACGACTGTCCACCCTAAGTGTGGAGAGACTCACGTTTGTGAAAAATGAATCAGGCGTGGATTAGTCTGGATTTCAAACCACCAGTTCCTGACACAACTGACTAAATCCGACATGAAATCATGCCCCAAACATGTGCCACTTTCAGGTCTCCTCACACTGCTGGTGTGTTCAATTTTTTGACATAGGGTGCTGGCAGATTACGGGCCTCATAGCTGCTGCCAGGCCCCTAATCTGCCATGGGCCCCTATACCGCCTCCTCATGTCATTGCTGCTGCCAGGTCCAGAGTCTCTCATGGGTCCCTGTACGGCCTCCCATTGCTGCTGTCTCCATCGCCACACTCTGCCATGTGCCACTTTCAGGTCTCCTCACACACTGCTGGTGTGTTCCATTTTTTTGTCATAGGGTGCTGACAGATTACGGGCCTTCCATTGCTGCTGCCATGCTGTAATCTGCCATGGGCCCCCGTACCGCCTGGTCACGCTGCTGCTGGGTCCACAGTGTGACATGGGTCCCTGTACCGCCTCCCATTGCTCCCACTCTGCCATGTGCCACTTTGAGGTCTCCTCACACTCCTGCTGGTTTCCATTTTGTCATAGGTTGCTGTATGGCCTCCCATTGCTGCTGCCCTCCACCGCCACACTGTGGCTCCAAACACTGGTTTTGGCCCGTGACTGGCCAAATGAGTGAAGTGTGCGGTGATTCTAAGATCGACGGCACTCATCTGCATGTCATACTGACTGACAGTATTATTTCTCTTCCCCAGCAGACTCCAAGGGCATTTAAATTAAAGGTACAGTGTTCTGCACTAATATTAAGTCTCTCTGAAGCCTAGAAACACCCTTTTTTAAGTTAAATTCACAGCGAATATATTCGACTCGAATCGAATATTGTCCACGAATTCGCCGAATCAGTCGAATCGAATTTTTGAATACTTCGCTCATCTCTAGTAAGGATACCAGTAGAAACCCAGGTGTTCAGGTTTAGAGCATGAGTGAAGAGTTCTAAGGAAGACAACGGAAGAGAGCCAAAGTTTGTCGTGGTTTAATCCCAAGGAAATGTATATTTTGCCAAATATTGAAAGCTGCTCTTATGGTAAGGAATGGAGAGATTCCAGGTCAAAATCCCAGCAGGGTGGCACCTAGGATTCCTTGAAGTGAGGAGTCTAGGATTGAGTGTTCTTTGGAGACCCGTACATGATCCATGGAGTGGGAACACCAGCTTCTCAGTTGGTCTAGAAATATTTTAAGATTTGAGATTCCCATTCCTGTATCTTTTTTAGGCCTGAAAAGAATTGAAGTTCTGAATATTAGTTTCCTGCCCCCCCCCCTCCCCCCAGATAAAGTGGTTCAGTATAGATTATAGCTTTTGTAGGTAACTTTGGGATAAAGGGATTGGAAGCATTCTGAACAGATATAATATAGTATGAAGCAGCAACATCTTTGTCACAGCCGCTCTGCCTGCCCATGACAGGTGTGCTGTCTGGAGATTTGCAATATTTTGCTTCAGAGGGGGAATAAGGGCCTTGTAGATAGAGGAGCTTGGGGTGAATAATTTGATTCCTAAGTATTTAATGGTTGCGGGAGGTGCCCAGGAGAAGCCAGAGGACATGGAGATAGATTTTTTTTACTTTATATGAAATTGCGATTGATAGCATATGAGATTTAGAGATGTTCACTTTATATAGGGATACTTGGCTAAATTTGTGAAGGACTGTAGTCAGTGCATCAAGAGATAGCAAATGCTCCATGATGGAGAGGATAACGTCATCTGCATTTAGACCAGTTTTGTATTCACCATCCCCTATTTTAAAGCCTGATATGTTGGGATGAGTGGTTCCATTACTAGAGAAAATATTATTGGGGGGCATCCCTGTCTGGTGCCATTTGAAATCATGAAAGATTTTGAGAGGATGCCAGGGGTTAGAACTTTAGCTGAGGGTTGGAGTATAGAGCTTTGATGGTGTTAGTGATGTATCCCTGGATACCAAATGCATTTAATACATCATTGAGATAGCACCAAAGTACGCAATTGAATGCTTTTTCATCATACATGGATAAGAGAATGAAGGGGCGTATGGGACTTTTCCGCCCATTGGAGAAGGTTTAGTGATCGTTTAGTGCCATCTACTTTTTGGCGATTTTTGACAAATCCTACCTGATCCAGATGAATCAGCAGTGCGATCACGTCTTCCAATTTGGTAGCTATTATTTTGTAATAGATTATTTAGTAATAGAGATTGGTCGATAATTTGCTGGTGAAGTGGGTGATTTATCTGGTTTTGGCAGCGTCACTATGAGGGCTTCCAGATATGCCCTCAGAAAAGATGCCGAAAGAGCCGAGCTGTGAAACAAATTCTGCAAGTATGGTTACTAAAGGATTTATAGTATTCATTCCCGAAGCCATCAGGACCTGGGGATTTGTTTTGGGGGAATTTGTGAATAGTCCGCTGTATTGCTGAGTATGAGAAGTTTGTAGAGAGTTTTTTGCATTGTGATTGTGAAAGAGTCAGCAATTTCACTTTTGAAAAAAAACGGAGTAAATTTGCGTTTCTAAGTCATTTGATGCATCTGGACATAGATTGTAAAGGTCAGAATGAAAAGCTGCAAATTGGTTTGCAATTTGGGGGGGGGGGGGGGTGTAGTGACGCAATTGTTAGAAGAGATAGGCAATGCAACTTTTGGATGTTTTCTTTTATATTTTGTTTGCTAATAAAGCGCCTCCTATATTGCTTGCAGAGTAATAATTAAATTGATGGCATTTGAGAAGGAGGTCGTATTGAGATATGAAGCATTGAGATAGTTGGTGACGAAAGGTTTTAATTTGTTTGGCTCTGTCTAAGGAAAAATTTATTTTGTTTTGTGTCTCAAGATTGCACAATTCACCTGAGATTTCTTGAATTAATTGTGCCTGCTGGGCCCCCCAATTTTATAAAACCGCCTCTTATATATATATATATATAAAAAGTCTGATATTTCTTTCTCGATCTGTTCCCGATATCTAGGGTTATGTAGCATTGCCGTGTTTAATCCCCATACCCCTTTGTTGGGTGGAGAGATAGACGCCTGTACTGAGATGGAGATCGGAGCGTGATCCAACCATGTGATTAGTCCAATTTGGAAGGAGACAGTTTGGAGCAATGTATCTCTATCTACCAGGGACAGATCAATGTGGGAGTACACCATTAAGGCTGCTGAGTAGAAGGTGTAGTCTTTTTCAGACCCGTGAGCGCCTCTCCAAGCATCATATATGTTTTCTAATTGTATTAGTTTGGATAAAATCTGTGATTTCCGCCTGTTGGGATTCGTGGAGTTAAGTTCTTTGTCTGGCACTTCGTTAAAGTCCCCGGCTAGTACCAGGCGACCTATATGGATCTTCTGTATCTTTTTCATTAGAGCCTGGAAGAATGCTTGTTGTTTGATGTTAGGTGCGTACAGTGTAACTAATGTGTATGGTTGATGATTTATTAGAGCCCCTAAAATGATATATCTGCCGTTCTTGTCACATTCTATGAATTGTTGGGAGAAGACCACTGTGTCCCTTATTGCGATAATGACCCCTCTTTTTTTCTGCTTTTCAAAATAGCAATGAGGGGATTTAGGGTGCAATATTTTTAATGGAGAGGATGTGCGCAAATGTGTCTTCTGTGCACAAAATATGTCACTGTTTAGTTGCAAGGCTTCCCTCCACATCATGGACCTCTTAAATGGACTATTGAGGTTGGGAGTTACATTTGTTTGTTTTGTATCCATCTGTTGATGAATGAAAAACGAACCTTAATGTATCTCTATGGAAAAACATATGTAAAAGGATGATCATCCGTCTAAGGAAAAATTTATGTAAACGGATGATCATCCGTCTAAGGAAAAATGGATGTAAATGGACAAACAGTCCATTTTTGCACTGGTAGTGGATGTAAAAAACTGATGTAAAAGCTGGTGAAAAACTGATGTAAAAAACTGATGTAAACTGATGAAAAACCAATTTGTTTTGGCTAAACTGATGAAAAAAAAACAGAACGCCTATATAAAAGGACCCTAACCAATGCAAAAACCGACTGTTTGTCCATTTACATCCATTTTTTTTGTCTGTTCCGTTTTTTTTAACAAAACAAAATGCAGAATTTGGTCCAAAACAATTCACATTTCCTCACATTTAGAGAAGTTATTTTCACAGACATGAGAGGGAGTTTTGGGATGCTTGAAGCAGCGTTGTGAGCGCAAGAACAACTATCCAAATATATATAATAACATTAGTAACTTTATGGTATCGGAGGTAATCACCATATTTACAGCGAGTAATAGAAAACAGGTCCTGGGGTGGAACAAAGTACATACAGTACAAACTTCTCATAAGGCAATTATAAGTAATGTATACCAGGGCTTAAAATTTCAAGTCCTGAGCTACTAGCCAGGCCTTAGAGTTACTCGTAACCAACAAACACACAGAGACACCTGTACACACGCACATACATACAGACACATGTATACACACAGATACATGTACATACACAGAAATACACATGCACAGACACACAAACACGCACACACATGTACATGCACACACACAGACACATGTACAAACACACAAACACATGTACATACACACAGACACATGTACAGATACACACATGTACATGTACAATTGTACATGCATACACAGACACACTCAAACATGTACACATACACACACATATCCCCCCCATAAAAAGTTGCAGTACTTTGTTGTTCACTCACAGATCCAGGAACAGCACTCTAGGGGGAGGCAGAGAGCACAGCACACACTCCTTGCTTTGCTTTCACTGTGCTCAGCTATTGAGCAGTCTGACGGCTCCCAGTGCCAATGACAGATCCAGCCTGAGCTCCGAGCCTGCTCAACAAGATGGCCCTGGGGGACACAATCGCCTCCACCATAATTTCCACTTGCCATTGGCAAGAAGGTTAGTGGAAATTTCAAGCCCTGATGTATACGCCGTACGTGACTAAACTTTCTGGAAAAAGGCATGTAATCCATGCGTCTGGAGGTGCGGAGTGAGTAAGGATCATGGCGTGTGGGATTCTAATTATACTAAGCACCAATGAGATACATTGATGGGCACTCAAGTTTCAGGAGTTAGAGAACACTTATTTCCCGAACTTATCTGCCATTGCTGCCAGCTGTAGACCAGCCACTAGAAATAGGAGTAAGCGGTTTAGAGCGGGGAGGGTTGCGGTTATGAATCGTGTTCATACCCCATTGGCCCGGAAGTTTGGTTGCTTCCTCTGGGGATCATAGCACGTATGTGTGACCTTGGTGAGTGACAGTGAGATTTGTCGGAACACCCCACTGGTAGGTGATGTTGCGCTCCCGTAATTGAGTAGTTATAGGGGAGAATCGTTTGTGTTGTTGCATGGTGGCTGCTAAGAGATTGGCAAAGATTTGTAATTTGGCAAAGGGGTCTGGTAAATTTCCCATTCTTTTGGCTGCTAGGAAAGCCCATTCCTTAATGTGGAAAAAATGTATCCTCGCAATTACATCCTCTGGAATAGGGTCTGGCAGTGAGACCAGTTTGATTAGCATATGGGCTGTGTCTATGACAAAGTCTTTGGGGTTTCCCATAGGAAGAAGAGCTTTTAGTAGTTGCTGTAGAAAGGGGATAAGCTCGGCTGTAGAGACGGATTCAGGAATTCCCCGGAATTTTTAATTAATTTGTCTCGACCTACTGTTTCTTCAAGATCCACAATTTTTGTTTGTAACCACTGGACGTCAGTGTTGTGCTCTGCAAATCCATCCACTAAGCTATTCTGTGCTTCTGCAAATTTCTCTCATTTTTCCTTCCACTATGTCCACCCTTTCTTCCACTTGATCAATGTGTGTTTGAGGTTTAGAGATATTTTTGTGTAGATCTTCCTGTATGTTGTGTTTAAGAGAAAGAATATCTCTTTGATAGTGTTAGTGGATGCCGGCTGGTCTGTCGCCGCGAACTCTGCTAAAGTATGTGGCGCTTCAGGAATACAATCAGATTCTGTGTCCCCAGTACTTGACATCAGTTTTTTTTTACTCACTGGACCTTTGGATTTTGGAGAGGCAGCTGAAGAGAAAGCAGGGCGCTTCTGTGAGCTTTTATCCTCATTATGCAGAGTTTGTGCAGAAGCTGCTGAAGGCTGGAGACTGGGACCGCTCTGGGGACATTGATGTGAGGAGGGAGCATGCTCCATGTCTGACTCCTATCCTCCTCCCAGGGCCACCATATTGCTGGCACCCTGGAAGAAATCCATGAGCCATTTAGGGTGAGTAGCGCCCGCCAATCGGCGGTTGGAGGAGCTCCTTGTCATCCCGCTTGAGTGTGAGTGAGTGTGATAGTGGCCATTACTTGGCACCATGGTAAAATATGAAAGTGCAGCGCTAACTTAAACAATGATTACACATAAGATAGATCCCATTTGAATGTGGATCGGCAAAAAAGACGGCGTCAGTTCATCAGATGTGCTAAATACGTATACAGTCTCCAACACTTGAAGAGCCAGGGATAGTAGATATCAGAAATGATAAAGAAAAGCCAAGTAATGCACTGACCAGATAGCGCAAGTTAAAGCGCATGGGACATTTAAGACCTGTCCCTGGTACTCAGCCACTGTATCACTGGAGCAAGGCGGTGTCATCTATAGGGTGACCACTAGATGTCATCTGTCCGGATGGAAGCTGTGTCCAGCCACTGTGTTGATGGATCAGGTGGGTGTTGTCTGTAGAGTGACCACTAGATGTCATCGGTTCCAGGAGAAACTGTATCACGGATCCAGGGATGTCACTGCAGATGTGTTCTTGTTAGGCACATTCCCAGGACCTACTGGATTTACAGGCTCCCCAGAAATAAAGAGCCCGTGGAAAAAGGCCTCAAATAGTGTGATAACGTTTATTTAAAATTGAACAATCAGAAAAGAACTTACTTAGCAAAGGTACAGCTGCTTATAAACGGCCAGACCGGAGGTACATGTACATAAGATAAACATAGCTTGGCACTTCCCTAACGCGTATCGTGTAAGTACACATCATCAGAGGGGACTGTGCCAGTGTTAAGTGTGGTGTTTTAAACCTAAAAAGGCGCCAAAAACACCGCAATGCGGCGGCACCGTTATTGCCGGTTCGCGCATGCGCAGTAGCGATCGGCCGTTCGCGCATGCGCAGTAGCGTCCGCGGCGGCCATTTTAAAGAAGACCGACATGAATGTATGGACATACAGGTGTTGGTTCTGCAGTGATCTTACTGGGAATAAGATACTGCAATCCTAAAAAACGCACGGGGCAAGTATAGTAATGCGTGGACCATACTGTGTGCCCCCTTGTAGCAAAAAACGGCCTGGTGAAAGGCAAGGTTATAAAAAAATATAAATGAGTGGGATCTCATATATGAAGTGATTCTGGCACTGAATAAAAAACCAAATACATCAAATATGACAAACATGTGGATTAAAAAACATCTGGTTAAAAGCAATACCCATGAAATATACAATTATAAAACCAAATGTACTGAGATTATGGTGCATCGAATATGTTAAAGCGATCAAGAGATAAAGGTGCATCGACTTTTTTTAAAAACGATCTAAACACTCAAATGGAAATACAGATAAAGGCAAAGTAAAAGTAATCTGATTAAGAAGTGAGATCATGAAAAGTGCTTAAAGATCGATCAGCTGGTATCGATAAAACAATTGATATCTAATTCTACATTTAGTCCTTGTGGAGCTTGGGACTGTAGAAGATAAATCCACTTGGTCTCAAGCATAGAGACCGCGCGTTTTTTGTGGGTACCTCTCCAGTTACTTTTGATGATATCTATACCCACAAATCGCAGGGAGTGTGGATTTCTTATTGTGTCGCTGGCGGTAATGCATAGACAAGGAGTGCTCTTGTAACCTTTCTTAATATTGACCAGGTGTTCCCTCAGCCTGTCTCGCAGTCTCCTTGTCGTTCTACCGACATATTGCTTCCCGCAACTACATTCCAGAAGGTAGACAACATAGGAGCTGTAGCACGTAATAGTAGACTGAATGTCAAATGATCTACCGGTAGCATTTGAACAAAAGCTTTTTATCGGGTTCTTGTGAATGCCATTACAAATGCATATCATACATCTGTTGCAAGGAAAAAACCCTTTTCTATTCAGAAAATCAAACGTCAATTGCTTAGGAGGATTGACAACGTTGGGGGCTAGTCTGTTTCTTAATGCTGGTGCTTTTTTTTTTATAGATGATTTCTGGGTGTTCCGGTAGGGCTTTACACATCACCGGATCGTTCTTAAGAATGTTCCAGTTCTTCCTAATGATAGTGGCAACTTCTTTATATTGCATCGAGAAGGCAGTTGTAAAAGGACAGAAAATCTCTTTATTGGTCTTATGTTGGGTAGTTAACAGATTGGCCCTGTCCAGACTAGCCACTCGGTCAATCTCCATATCCAATAGTTGGCTGTCATAGCCCTTTTCTATGAATCTAGTTCTAAGAATGTTGGATTGTGCAATGTAGTCTTGCATAGCACCACAGTTCCGCCTTATCCGAAGGAATTGTCCCCTAGGAATGTTATCCAGCCACCTAGGCAAGTGGCAACTGTCTTTTGGGATGTACCCATTCCTGTCTGTACCTTTAAAAAAGGTTTTGGTGGTAATTCTAGTACCGTCATTAATGAGGGTGAGATCCAGAAAATCAATACTACTGTAACTATAATTGAAAGTGAGCTTAATATTTAGGTTGTTATAGTTTAGAGTGGTAAAAAAATTGAGTAGTGAAGAGTCATCGCCATCCCATAGCAACACTATATCGTCTATGTAGCGTCGGTAAAAACGCAAATGTGGCCACTCCATGGAATATATCACCTCCTCCTCCCATCTTGCCATAAAGATGTTTGCTAGGCTAGGAGCGAATTTCGCGCCCATTGCTACGCCTGTGGTCTGCAGGTAATACTTATTATCAAACCAAAAGTAATTGTGCTTCATTGCGAAGCTTAATAGTTCCAATAAATATTGCTTCTGAATGTGTGGTATGTCTATGGCCTCATTCAGATAATATTCTGCCGCTTCTAAACCATCTGCATGCTTGATATTACTGTAGAGAGAAGCAACGTCCGCCGTTACCAGAAAAAAGTAGGCTTCTCTATTTTAATGTCCATGATCTCAACCAGGATTTGTTTTGAATCCCTCAGGAAAGAGATGGTGTGTTGCGCGCACTATTGGCTGTAGGAAACAGTCAATATATTCACCAACCCGGGAGCACAAGGACCCTATGCCACTCACAATGGGGCGACCTGGAGGGTTAATTGGGTCCTTGTGGATCTTGGGCAGGCAGTACAAGACCGGAAGTCTGGGTACCGTAGGGCACAAAAAGTCACGCTCTTTTTTATTCAGGATTCCCGAATCGGATCCCCTTTTTATCAGAACCTTCAAAGCTTTTTTGTATGACAAAAGAGGGTTTTACTCGGAAGTTCTAAATAGGTGTCTTTATCCTGGAGGATATTCTGCACTTGCATTAAATAGTCTGATTTATTCATGACCACAACTCCTCCCCCTTTGTCCGCTGGTCTGATTACCAACTCCTTTTCCTTTAATAATACATTGGTCATCATGTCATGTTAATCTTGTCTTGGTTAAATGATTTATTGTACCGTTTTTTTTCCCCGTATATTATCAAGATCTTTAAGGACCATATTTTTAAATACATTGATATATGATTGTGCCTGGGGGTTAAACAAGGACGCATTCTTGAGATTGGTGTTCTTGAAATTAGGGTTACTCACATTGGATGTTACACTTGTGATAGGTTTATTTAGAAAATGTCTCTTCATCGCAAGTCTCCTTACAAACTTGTGGATGTCTATAAAAGTATTAAATTTGTTTAGTTTAGCCGACATTCATGTCGGTCTTCTTTAAAATGGCCGCCGCGGACGCTACTGCGCATGCGCGAACGGCCGATCGCTACTGCGCATGCGCGAA